TCCCAAACAGGCTCCGGGGTGTGTTCACTTACCTATGCCATCCTAGATTCTCATTGGTGTGCCTCTTGTGGCAACAAGATTTGCTGGTCCCACTTCTGGATACGAAGTGCATATCCAGAGATGACACATACACACACTGTAGGGTTTGGGGGTTTTGTGCTGAAGCTCTGGGTCTCCCAATTAGGGGTTATTGCCCTCCTCTGCTTCCAGAAAGTCCTTGGTGCCTGGGGGTTTTTTCGACTTGCGAAATACATGGTTTATCCCCCCCCCTTCTCTTATTCCCCTTGCGGCCAAGGGAGGGAATGCAATTTTGCCTTGAGCAGTATTCAGAAGTCCCAGCTCTACCACCTTTGTCTCCAGCCGCTTCTTCTCCCAGATTTTGAACTGTGTCTTCTCACGATCTGCCTGAGCAGAGATGACTGCCTGTGCCAAATTCTGTTACGAAACTACTACTTAAACGGTAGCTTGTGGCTTAATGTGTGTTTGATTGGGGGGAGGGGGGCATCGTGAAGTTTGAGAATTTTATCCCCTTCTAGACCACCCTCCTCCCTCCCCTCTTTCTCCTCAAACTTTTTCAAAGCCATCTCTTTACACATCCTTTTATAAATCAATTAATTTATAATCTTGAGTGGACAAAGCAAGACTCTCTCCTTTGTGTCCTTCTCATCGCTCCATGTGGTGTTAGCAAGGGCTACACGAAACCAACAGAGAGATCTGTCGATAGAGTCGGAAGAGAAGACGAGAAAAATAATTCTTCGGTTTTTTCTGAAGGATCTCTTGCTTTTTTTAAAAAACAAATTGGTTTTGGCTTGTATTTGCTTTGCGATTCTTTAAATGTAGTTTTTAAAAAAATATTTATTTGCACATCAAGTAAAATAAAATATTGACTTTAAAATGCAACGATTCCCTCGTTTCTTGATTCTTGGATGGCTTCAGAGTGCTCGGCAAAGCCCTTGGGGGGCAGCTCTTCAGAGCGTTTGAAAAGCTAGAAACAAATGTTTGTGGATGGGATAGAACCTGTTCGAAAATTCGAGGAGAGGCAGCTATTTGTGAGTCTTGTCTTTACAGACGAGACGTAAGAAATCTGGGATTTAGATGTAACATTCTCAATGAGATTACAGGCAGTCCTCTACTTATGACCATAATTAAGCTATGGTTGTAAGCCATGACAATGGGATTTTATGCCTTTTTTTTGCAGCCTATTTTTAAGCGAACACCATGGTTGTTAAGCAAACCCATTGTTAACTGCAATGGTTTTTTTGGCTGGAAAGTAAATCCTGTTTCCCAGCAAAAATGCCACAAATCACAGTTGTTATTGCAAATGGCCACAAAAACAGGCCAGTTGCTGAGTGCCCAAAATGTTGACACATGACAGGGGAGGCGCAGCCATCAGAACCTTAAATCTGGGTCATAAGTCCCTTTTTCAAAATTAGTTGTAATTGTGAACAATCACTCAGCAACACTCCCTTAGTTTTTAATTCAAGGATTATCTGTACTTAATTCCATGGATCAGGGAACACATGAGTTGGTTGGCGCTCAAGTATTGATCTGAATCCATTTCCGTATTTATTCCTGGGATTGTGGCCTTAGTGTCCCGAGAGCCGAGGTGGCGCAGTGGTTAGGGTGCAGTACTGCAGGCNTTCCCCGGGCTCTGGAGGCCCCCCAGAGGCTGGAAACAGGCTTGTTTCCAGAACTTCAGAGAGGCCCGTTTTTCGCCCTCCCAGAGCCTCCAGGTGGTCTCTGCACTTACCTGGCATCCAAAATGGGTCGCGTGGAGACTCCTGGGATGGGCAGGGCCAGCCAGTCCTTGCAACTCCCGGTTCAGCAAACCAGATGTAAAATTAGCATCCAGTTCGTTCGAACTAGTCCGAACCGGCTGAATCCCACCCCTGGTCTAAAAGCAGCAACTATTCTCATCTCCTCTTTCCCTAATTTACGCACCGCATCTTAATTCCAAAACTGCCTGGTTTTGAATGCTTTATAAAAGAATAAGTAGAAACTAGGCTTTATTGATCAATGGAATTTAGTTCTCTGTATGCCTCTGGGTCTGATAAAAAAAGATAGGTAGCCTTTTCAGTCAGAGGAACTAGATCGTGGCATGCCTTTCCCTGGATTTGCTTGCATTATATCTGGTTTTGCTTTAATGAGTTTGATGGATTGGTTGTCTATATTGTATTTGTTATAGAGACATTTTTATTTTTCTCAACTCCACTTACTGGACTTCAGATGGAGTGGGCAAAATTAGCATGTGGATAATCACCTTTTAGGATTTCTGTGATCTCCAAGGTAGTCTGGCATTTAAGAAAGATTTTAAAGAATTTTAAATAAACTTTGTCCACAACAATCTATGTCATTTGCATATTTCATGGTATAATGGACATCGGAAAGAATAGGCATCCCTTCTGGTCTCAACTGGGGTTTCAGATGCTACCTGTACCTTTTTAAACGTTTTGTGATCTTTGAAGTCCCCTGTTGGAGAGAAATGCTTCTCGTGTTGCTTGAAATCAGAGGAAATGATTAAGAAGCTGCATCGTAGTTGGAATGGAAGAGTTTGCTTTTGTAAGACAGGCGTAGGCAATCAGGGGCCCTCCAATGTGCTGGCTATCGGCACTGACAGAGGATATTGCAGTTGTACTATATTCCAGAATATCTAGAAAGCAGCAGAGTGTTCATTCCTGCTCCAGATATCCCTGCCATTCTTCAGTACACCTCTAATGCATCTTTTGGCCAGTAGAGGTCACTATGTTGTATGATTGTTCTCTAATTCCAGTAGAGTAGCTTGGCAAGGGTCTTAGAGCTAGTCCTATCTGTGTGTGTGTGTGTGTGTAGCACTAGCACTTAGACATACACCACTTCATAATGCTTTACATCTCTCTCTAAGCAGTTTGCAGAGTCAGCCTATGGCCCCCAACCATCTGGGTCCTCATTTTACCCACCTTGGAAGGATGGAAGGCTGAGTCAACCTTGAGCCTGGTGAGATTTGATCTGCCAAATTGCAGGCAGCCAGCCAGCAGTCAGCAGAAGTAGCCTGCAGTACTGCACTCTAACCACTGTGCCACCACGGCTCATATGTATATATACCTGTGATAATGAACTTATGGCACCTTTGCCACTAGTGTCACACGGAGTCATTTCTGAGGGCATGCGAAGCATTACCCTGTCAGCTTCAGCATGCATGCATGCACTGGCCAGCTAATTTTTGGCCTTGATTTTCAGCCTTTTTTCGCCCTCCCGAAGTCAAAAAAACTGCCTAACGCTCAAACCGGAAGTTCGGGAACAGACTTCCTGTTTGCGCATTGGGTAGTTTTTCGCCCTCTGGAGGCTTCAAGGAAGCATCCTGATACCTCCAGAGGGAGAAAAA